CGAGAGCGGGCTCACGCATCAATGGCCCGCCAGAACAGCGTCGCCTATGCAATCGAATGCAGCACAGATCCCGTCGGCGATTCCACCAGCGCTGAGATCCGTGCAGGGCCATTCCATGGACCACGGTCTTGGCACCACGTGCTGGCATTGAAACGCGAGTTGAAGGCCGATGCTGCCGTGCAGAAGCGCGTGGAGCACCAGAAGGATCGTAACCTCCACAACCCCACCCCGTCGTCCGAAGTTCGCGCTCACGTTCTATAGTGGTTTATGCACTTGTTTTTTCGGCACCCTGAACAGCGAAAATGTTCAGTATGGGTGTCATGCCTTGCTGTAATTCGGGCCTCCTGCTGGCTAGGGTCTCCCTGCACACGCGTTCCATAGTTTAGGCATCATGCGTGGGTCTTCCGCATGGGCCACCGCCCCCAGCACGAACAAGCTTGCGCGCGTATTTTCAAGTCTGTCGCACGCAACGCCGCGCCAACCCACACCCGTGCATATGCACATATGTGTAGTGTTAAGGCTGTCGCCCACCACGCCGCCCCAGCACTCACCAATAATTGCATTAGCGCACGCACATTGGCAACGCTGTCGCCCACATCGCCGACCCATGCCGCCAAAGCCGATACCAAAATTACAGTGTATATTATAGTTGGGGTTCATGTGGCCCCATCAGGGAGCAATTGATTGGGAGTTTGGGCTATGAGTAGCGGGGCCGCCTGAACGACGAAACTCGCAGCCAACAAACCATATGCATGTATGCTGCGATTCATTCGCAGAGCTGGGTAGCAGGGTGCACGGAGCGATGTGCAACGCACCATTGCGTACTGTATCGAATCACATACCACTTGTGGGCACGCGCACACTACTACGCGTAATGTTGCAACGTTGCGTTCGTAAGTGTGGGTTCCGTCGTGTCATTGGTGTTAGCCCTTGGAAATGCAAAACCACGGTTGGGTCGTAGTGATCGTCGCCGCAGCTGTGCCTCGCTGATCGCGCCTCCTGGGAAGGTCACTGGCCAGTGAGGGAGCGTTCGCGTGAGCGCAGCTGCTGCAGAGTGGGGGAGGGGGGGGGTGCCGCAATCCAGCCTCGCCGATCGCGCCCCCTGGGCACTGCCCAGTGAGGGAGCTTTCGCGTGAGCGTAGCGGGCCTGCCTCGCCGCTGAGCGCGCCTCCTGGGGGGGCACAGTGCTGGAATACCTAGTGAGGGTGCGCTCGCGCGCATGAGTGCAAGCATTGCGCCTCGCCGAGAGACGGTTGGCATTGGGGTGAAGGTCAGGGGGGGGTGTGGGGAAAATTGTTAGCCCCACGGGTTCGCCCTTCCCCCTCCCTGCAATCCGCACAGTAGGCACGACTGAGGATAGACTGGGGAGGGTGAAGGGGACAAGGGAAGGGCTTTTGCAATATATGTGATCATTGAGTCCGTGTTAAGTATGTGCGAGCCGCTGTCAGCTGCTCGGCTAGCTGAACCTACTCTCACAGTATGTGTTCGCCCCCTCAGGACGAGATCTTACGCAATGCTGAGCAAGATTGCGATTCTAGTGGGCAGCGGTCTCTGGAGAAACTCGTGCAAGCAGTGCCTGCTCTTGGTTCCTGGTCTCGGAGTTTTCACCCCCTGCCCGCCCATCGGTGCACTGACGGTCGCGAGTTGCATCATATACTTGTGGAGCCCACAGAAGCACTTGTCACTGCAGGTAAGTTTATCTCAGTTGATCGCCAACTTGGTATCTCCAAAAAGGCACTTGCCAGATTGCGCAATCAATGGGATCTTTTGCATCGGCAGTTAGATACCGTGCCTGTCCCAGACGCACACCCCGTTCGCATGAGTGCTTGTCGTTTCGCTGGCATGTGTGTTTGCAGAGGTTCAGGGAATAGTCACGTACCGCGTCTTGCAGACAAGGCTAGGTTGGCCCTGAAGGCTGTCGTCAAAGGTGACCCAAAGGGGATGGCTGACCTCACGCAGGGTTCGTTTGTAGCTTTGTTCCTCGGCTCCACCAAGGCGCACATTCTCGACCAGGTTGGTCCGGATACGCCGCCTTTAGAAACCATCTGGAGGCATGTGGGCCACACGTCTCACAAGCCCGCTTACATGCTGTGGCATCACGTGCGCTTGCTTGAAGACAACGGGGACCCATTTGCACGTTTAGAAGATTTTTGTAATGACAACCATGTGTTGATTAGCGAACTCAAAGCTTCGACCCATTGGAAATCCTTTCAACATATGAGCGCAGAGAAACGATGGGACCTTATAATGTACAAAATTGTAGAATCACACAGACCAGTTGCACATGTTACTCCAAATATCATTGAGGTTCAGCGAGTGCCTGGTTCTGAGGCGGTACTTTTGTGGGACCCGTGGGACAAAAACAATGTATCGAAATGCACATTCTCATTCAAGGCTGAGGAGTATATGAATGATAAAAGCGACGAGGAGATGAACGACGGCGAACAAGATGAGCACGCCGCCGCCGACGTTTTTGGCGGTGCGTTGTTGGACGATGCTGGAGGTGTTCCGATGGAGGATCCAGGTACAGATGTCAGCTCGTTGGGAGATGGGCCGTCCGATGGCGACGATGGCGACGAGCCGCCTCCACCAGCTGCGCCCCCTTCGCCTGTATTGCCTATTCATGCTCCAGTGTTCTACAGAGTTCCTGGCGGTACAATCACATACTACCCCTTTCCGCGTTGCGAGTTCAATGCTGTCTGCAACCGTTGCAAGAAGAGTAAGAAGTGCCTAATTTCCAGGACTTCGAATGAATCGGGTTCTAAAGCTGCGCAAGGCAGGCCTTTGGGTTTATTGTTGTCTTATCTTGATTTCCATGATCCATCAATGGAGTCGGCTAATCATAAGAGGAACTACCCTAAAGATAAAGACAGCAGGGAACGAGCGAGAGATCGACACAAAAATCGCCCTGATGCTAAAACAATCTTCCAGTGCGAGAGAAAAAAAAGGCCAGGTGAGCCAGACGAGCCGCCTGGTGAACCTTGAATCGCTTGTTTGAGCACGAGAGAAAAATGCCAACTGAGCCTTGAGCATGATGAAAAAAAACACGGCCAGGAGAGCTCAGGGCCCCCCTGTACGCTGAACAGCAACGGTCATTCCTCCCTCCTCCCTCCTCCCTCCGCCCTCCGCCTTCCTGTCTCATTCATACCCAGCCTGCCTCCTCCTGTTCCTTCCTCCTCCCTCCTGCTTCCTTCTGCTCGTCCCCCTCCCGTCCTCCTATCACCAGAATCCCCTCTCCTCCCTCCTCCCTCTTCCCTCCTCCCCCGTCCCTCTCATCTACCCTCCCTCCCCCCTCATCCCTTATCTCTCTTCCTCCCTCCTCCCTCCTCCCTCCTCTTGCCTCCCGTGTCCCTCCTCTGCTGTTTAGGGTCTCAGAGGACAGATGCTTGGCCACCCCGTAGCCCGAGTAATTGGGGGCTGGACGGGGGGGGGGCGAGTTGCGTCTTCGCGCGCTCACTGGTATTTTTAAAGGCTTAGAACCCCCCAAGGCCCTTGATCGCGTCTCCCCTGAGGCCCTGACGGCCCTTTAAGACGTATAGCCCCCAAGGCCCTGAAAACTCAGAGCCCTCGTTGCCCGTAAAGACTTGGAGCCCTCAAAGCCCTTACGACGTAGAGCCATCAAGGTCCCTAAATAATCAGAGCCCTCAGTAGCAGTAGCGCATACATTGTCTTAACGACTTAGGGCCCTCAAGGCCCTCAAGATTTAGAGCCATCAAGGCCCTTGCAACCCAATTGGCCCCTAGAGCCCCCCTGGGTTTCACTCCCCTTACAATGCTTGCACTTCAATGCTCGTATCTGCGCTTTGAAAAAACTGACCCTAAAAATAATACGTGTACCTCTGTGGCTCGTGCCCATGGTTGCCGTTAATGGTTGGTGCGCATTGGTGTTCAAGTGTGTTCTATTGGTGGTCCCCTATGGTGTTCTATGGGTTATGGCTTCTGGGTAATGCCCATGTTGTTCTATGGGTTGTGCCCTATGGTGCCATATGCGGTGCCACGGTTGCAATTCTACGGTCCCGTGTGGTCATGATCTATGGTTAGCGCCTTGTGTCGATTCTCGTCCTATGGTTTGTGAATATGTGTATGTGGTTAGCGTGCTGTCCCCATGGGTAGTGCCTTCCATTGCTAGTGGCCTCTATGGTTGGCACCCTGTGTCTACGTCTATATGGTTAGTGCCCTGTGTCTACGCGCCTATGGCCTGTGTCTATGGTTCGGTCCCTGTGTCTGTGTGTTTGTGGTTAGTGCCCTGTGCCTAAGGTCGTGCTCTGGGTTTACTGCCCTATGGTCGGCCCGTGTCCAAGCGATCATCCACGGCGTTTTAGCGCAGGTGCCCTTCATGGCGCCCTATTGTCGGTGCCGTATGGCTTCCGTCCCCGAGCTTGCACTCTGGGGCGCTATATACATGTGTTTGGGGTCTTGTGTTTGGGGTCCACATCTATTTATGTCAGTAGCCGTTTTGGCTCAAGCCATCGGAGTTTTAGTTTCACGATTTACGATTGGATGCTACAATACATACTTCTCGTCTTGGCAACGATGGCTGTCCCAAGTGCTCCCGTCGACGTTGCTTTCCACAAGTTGCGCGGCAAGCCCCCAGTCCTCACCCTCAAAGTCGACGGGCTACCGCCATAATACGAGGGCACTATTCGGTGTCAGCTGCCCATAGAGATTGAGATCCGCTCCCGCCAAGCTGCCCGCAGAGATGGAGATCCGCAACAAGGTGCTCCGAATGCTCCACCGCTGCGTGGTCCAGATGCTCAGCCACCAGCTGCTCCTCCACCAGAGTCTCCAGATGGGCCACGTGTTCAGCAAGATGGTCGAGGTGGAGATCCGCTTCCTGGTGCTGCGGGTACCGATGATGATCCAAAGAGTGCCGTGCGAGACGGTGAGGCGTCCAGCGAGGTGGAGATCATGGGAGAGATGCCAGTTCTACCCCCAGACAGCCTGGTCACTCCCGAGGCTGAGGTTGCGGCGGCTGGATGTGGCGCGGCTCGCCCCGCTCAGGTCGTTTCTCTGGGCGCCGTGTCCAAGACCGAACGTCCAGGCGAGGAGTCAAAGCTCGACAAGAAGAGCCCCATGCACCCCGAGAACGCCACTAGAGGCCACACAGCGGACACACGGGGGCGCCCTGTGTTGGCGACTACGCCGTCCCTGCCGACAGAGAACCACAACGTAGCGCCTGTAATGCCAGTTGCAGTCGCATCGCCTGCGCTGCCAGCTTCTGACGAGGGCGAGCCAGGTCACAAGCGCCTGCGCCGATCTTCGTTCTGCGACGCGGCTCCGTCGGCGGCCAAGTGGTGGCTGCCTATTGCGGGGAGAACCTCTGCAACGCAGGCCGACCGCGACAGCGTGCCCGAGCTGCGACAGAGTGCTCGCGCTGCCGCCGCCCCCAGCTCGCAGAGGCAGATGCGCAATGCCTTCCAGATGCTGGCGTCTGACTACGGTGCCGAAACGCAAGCTGACACTGCAATATCGGACTTCGATGTCTCTGACACGCAGCCTGCCACGCAGAGGTAGGTCTGTATGGGAGCGCGTGTCTACCCAATGCTCTTCATATCTCGCCCAATGGGGCAATTCCGCAACAAAAAAACATGTGGCCCATAGGCACCGCAAGGGAAAAGGAGGAGGAGGAGAGAAGAAAGGAAACGGAGCGGGGGAGAGGCGAGAGGGAAGCGAGGGATAAGTAAGAGGGGGAAAGGGGGGAGAGAGGATGGAGGGAGGAGAGAAGAGGGGAGGGGAGAAGGAGATGGGGGAGAGATGGCGAGGAGGGAAAGATGGAGAGAGAAGGGAAAGCTTCTCCTTCTCTTTCCTCTGCCTCTCTGTCTCCTCCATCCGTCTCTCGGCCTCTCTCCTCTCTTCTCGGCTTCCCTCCTTCCTGGGCCTACGGGGTCATATGGTCATATGTGTATTGAGGGTCTTATGGGTCCGATGAGTCCTGTAGGTCCTTACGGGTATTGTGGGCCCTATGGCTTCTATTGGGCCATATCGGTCGTCTGGGCCCGTATGGGTGCGTATTGGTCCTATGGTCGTGTAGGCCTTATGGATCGTATGGTCCTATGGGTTCTGAGGGGCAACGTGACACAGTATGGAGCCGCATGGGCTGATATGAACACTAATGTTGGTTAAGTGCCTCATGGCCCTTGTGAGGCCCTCCCCTCCCCTTGCTGCTCTCTCTCTCTCTCTCTCTCTCTCTCTCTCTCTCTCTCTCTCTCTCTCTCCTCTCTCCTCCCTCTCCCCGCTCATCTTCCCCCCCCCCCAGAAAGTGACACGTGTCACACCGAAAACCGTGTGATGAAAACCAATTGATCCACTCGAACTCTGGACGCCAACATGGGGCCATACAATGTGAACCAACACACGGGTGACACGTGTCAGCCCGAAAACCGTGTGACGAAAACCAATTGTCCCACTCGTATTTTGGACGCCAACATGGGGCCATACAGTGTGAAACAACACACGGGTGACACGTGTCACCCCGAACACCGTGTGAGGACAACAAATTGCTCCACTCGTATTCTGGACGCCAACATGGGGCCACACAATATGTGTGCATCAACGCACGGGTGACACGTGTCACCCCGAAAACCGTGCGAGGAAAACCAATTGATCCACTCGTATTCCGGACGCCAACATGGGGCCAGACAGTGTGAAACAACACACGGGGGACACGCGTCACCCCGAAAACCGTGTGAGGGAAACCAATTGTCCCACTCGTAGCCTGGACGCCAACATGGGGCCATACAGTGTGAAACAACGAGTTCGAGTGAGGTTGACTTGGGCCCATTAGGTTGCCCACCTGAAGCATTTGAAAGAGAACCCTGGCGGGATAGTGCAAGGAAAATGTAGGGTGACTGGCAAGGATCACGACAAACTTCTGCGAGTGTCAGCGGGGTTGGCTTGAACCCGTTGAATTCCTCACCTGGGGCGCTTCAGAAGGAACCTTGGCGATAGAGTCTAAGTAAGGTGTAGGGTGGGTGAACAACTGGTAACGAACATTTAAAGTGAAGTTGGCTTGAACCCGTTGGGTTCCTCACTTGAAGCGCTTGAGAGAGAACCCTGGCGAGAGCGTGTACGTAAGGCACAGGGCGGGCGAAAAGGGCACCGAAACATTGAACGAGTTTAAGTGCAGTTGACTAGCATCCGATGGGTTCCCCACTTGAGGCGCTTGACAGGGAACCCTGGCGAGAGAGCGCACGTAACATGTAGGGTGAACAGACAGGGTAGCAACAACTGAAACGAATGTACATGCATTTTCGTCGAGGTTTCCGACGACGTCGGGAACCTCCCAAGCTGCATGGCTTTGCCCGCCCCCGAGAAATTACGACGGGCATCATGCCGTCGCTGTTCCGTACCACACCTCGCTCAACGAGGTTGAGTTGAACCCGTTGGATTCCTGACTTAGGGCGCTTGAGAGAGAACCCTGGCGAGAGAGTGTAAGTAAGATGTAGGGTGGGTGAAAAGGGCAGCGGGAACTTCAACGAGTTTAAGTGAGGTTGGCTTTAATCCGTAGGTTTCCTGACTTGAAACGCTCGAGGGGAAACCCTGGCGAGATAGTGTAAGTGTGGCGTGGGGAGAGCGGGCAACGGCAACTTCAACGAGTTGAATGGAGGTTGACATGAACCCGCTGGGTTCCTCACATGACGCGCTTGAGAGAGAACCCTGGCGGGGGAGTCCAAAAAAGATGCAGGGTGGGCGACAAGGGCGAAGAAACCCCCGCGCCCCCCCCCCCCCCCCCCCACCACACGCACACACACACACACACACATCGCCGCCACCACCACCCCCCCCCCACCCCCCCCCCCACCCCCACCCCCCCCCCACCCCCCCCCCACCCACCCCACCCCCCACACACACTCACACACCACCACCACCGCCCCCCCCCCCCCCCCCCCCCACCCACCCCCACACACCCACCACCACACACACGCACGCACGCGCGCACACGCACACACACACACACGCATACACACACGCACACACACACACGCACACACGCACCACACTTTGAATGATCAGCGGCTCTCCCGTGCCCAGAGTAGACCCATCGGGATAACGCCCGAGCCTTCGAGGGAACCATATACACGTCGCCAGCCGTGGCCTCACCACACGCACGCACACACACACACACACGGGCACGCAACGACACCTCGGCGGAATCGCATGGAGTCGCGCGCGCGCCCTGCGGCCGACGCAAAGGCTGTGTGTAGAGCAGCCGAGCAACCGAGGTCGTCTGTCACGCGCGCTGCGGCCGACCGAGATCGCACCCCCCCCCCCCTCCCCATGCACTTGCCGTTGCAATTGCCAAGTGCTGCAACCTCGCCATCCGAGACCCCCCCCAACCACCACCACCACCACACACGCACCCACGCGCACACACACATACACATCGCGCACGCACCGACCCCCCCCCACACACACACACCAAAAACACACACACAAACACACGCCACCACCACCACCACCACCACCAGGACATGCACCACCACCACACACCACCACCACCAACAACCGCCACAACCACCACCGCCACCACCACCGCCGCCGCCGCCACCACGTCCACCGCCACCGCCCCGCCCCAGCGCGCACGCACATGCGCAAACACACATGCGCACGCACGCGCCCACGCGTAACTGCACGCACACACGCGCGCGCGCACGCGCGCACGCGCACGCACGCGCGCCCACGCACAGACACACGCACACACGCACACACACGCGCGCACACACGCACGCACGCGCGCACACTTACACGCACACGCGCGCGCCCGCCGCGCCGCTGCCGCAGCGGCGCCCGACAGCCGCGCCGCCATCCCGCAGCCGAGGCCGACGATGCGCCGCTCCAGCCGCGCAGGGCCACATGGCGCCCTGCAGGGCCCAACGTTTCCCGCCTCGCAGCAGGCTGCAATGCCAGCCTGGGCCAGCAAGGCGCAACGATCGCGCCGCGCGCGGCGCGTTCCGCGCGGGCGCCGCCCAATCGGGCACGGCGCAGACTGGGGCAAGGGGGGGCGGCAGCGAAGGATACTCAAGGATCGGCGCCGCGCACCCGCTGCAGGGCGCCATCGCGCCCGCCGCCCCAGCACCCCCGTTGCAAGCGCTCCGCAGCCGCATCGCACCAGCGCGTCAGCGCGCAGGGCCCAGCGCCCCGTGGCGGGCGCCCCAGCGCTAAGGCCGCCCGCGCGCATCGGTCGAGCGCAGCCGCGCGCGTGATCGGGGCCCCGTTGGGCGCGAGCCCAGCGGGCGCCAGGAAGACCTGGCTGGCGTCTCCTGGGCGCAGCCTCCGCTGCGGCTTAACTTCTGGCGACGGCGGTCGCTGCGCGCTGCGGTTGCGTTGCGCCGCGCGCGGCGCATGCCGCGCGCACCTGTTGCTTGCGGTGCTGAGGCTGCAAGGCGATGTCCGCCAGAGGTATGAAGCGGGCCAGGTGGGCCCCCAAGCGCACCGCCTGGGCTGCGCGCCATGGTGCTCGGGCGGCCCGCCTTGGCGCTTAGCGCACCGCCCTCTCCCTCACCACCACCCCGCACCGTTGGGGCGCCTGGGCGGGCGCCCCAAGAGGCATCGACGGGGGGCGCTCAGTCTGAACGCCGATGGCGCGCGGGGCCAGATATGCGACACGACGCGTTCGCACCCCAACTCATTCACCGCGCGGCGAAGGGACCCATCGTTGACGCGCGGCGACTTCCGCGCCCCAGCGCCCAAACGTCTGCCGCTTCGCGGGACTAGCCGCTCAAAAGCGGGCTTAACTTTTTTCAAACTTTTTCGAATGAAAAGTTCCCCGCAAGTTCCGAAATAGTTCCGAAAAAGTTCCGACGAATTTGGCGACGTCGCCGGCAAACATTGGAGATGTACGGACGTTGCCCCAGGGTAGTTCCGCAAAAGTTCCCGAGCCCCTCTCAGGGTTCCGAAATAGTTCCGCAATTGTTCCGCAAACCATGTCGGCCCTCAGAAAAGGTTAGCCGAAACTTCCGCAGAAGTTCCGCAGCCCATTTCAGAGTTCCGATTCTGTGTCCCCGACGCTTCCGCAGCCCGTTGCAGCGTACCAGAGAAGTTCCCCGAAAGTTCCCCCAAAGTCCCGCAGCCCACTTCAGGGGCCCCAGCATAGTTCCCCGTTGGTTCCGAAATGGTTCCGACACAGTTCCGAAATAGTTCCGCAAAAGTTCCCCGAAAGTTCCGCAGCCCCTTGCGATGGTCAAAAATAGTTCCGCAAAAGTTCCGAAATAGTTCGCCAAAGGTTCCCCAAAAGTTCCCCGTGCCATTCTACAGCGGTTGTTTGCAAACGAGGTAGCGAACTGGCTTCGTAATGTTTTATTTACAAAGCAGCGAACATGCACAAAAAAATGGTTCAGAATTTTGCAAAGTACCCCGAGCTCGGGAAACAAACAGGGCGCAGTCTTCAAATTTTGCACATGTCACTGCCCCCGCTGGAAAAATCTGCAAATTTGACGTAGGTCGCGCATGGCGATCAGCGCGCGGCCTTCGGTGCGTTGGAGCCTTCGGCGTGGGAGATAATTGCGCTGTC